CTGATTGGCTTGGTCTTGGCCAGTGGTGGGTCCGTCTTGGAGCCGGCTGGCATTGGCTCTGTCAGACACAGGGGAAGCTTCTAGGAGCTTCTCACAGAAGCCACCCCTGTAGCCCCCCCACTACCAAAACCTTGCCACGCAAACCCAACACAATCTGTTATTTAAGTTACATAATTAAATAATCATTCTGGTCTAATGATCCCTGGCAATTTAGTTAATAGCTATCTCTTAAAAAAAGAAAAGTGCTAAAACTGGAGTGCAGTGGTTAGTCTGTATTTAACAGGTTTCTTTATTCAAAGCTTTGGCATATGGATGCTTTTCTTCAGTTGCATAGTTCTAATCCACAATGGGCTAAGTGGTATTAACTTTTCATAAGGTCACACATCACTGCATCTTTTTGCCCCTTCTTGCGCTGACATATATTCTTTCAATAGTTGGTGAACTGCTACAAAGTGAAGGGATTTCTTGCTTATTATGAAAATTTCTTTTGTAATATTTAAACTGCTAGATTCAATGACATGTTTAACAAAATTTGGGACCTCTTAGTTGGCAAGAGTAGGAAGCTTATTAAACCGTTACAAGTTTAAATTTATTTTATTTATAGAAACCCTTCTAAAGAATATTTTTCGGGAAGAAGGAATGCAATGAGGAGAAGTCATAGGAAAATGCACAGCCTAAAGCTCTGGTAGTATTTATAATCGGTGCCTATGCTAATCTAATGTGAGCTCACCACAGATCCCGAGGGAGCTGGATGCAGATTCCAAAGAAACTTATTAACATCCAAAGCGTGTGTTTTATTATAAAAGTCAGGGGTTTTTTCTTACTAAAAAAATTCACTTGTTTTTTATATTTGAGAAGAGGGAAGGAAATGCACAATGGATCATTTAACATGCTGTTTAATGATTTTATTCATTCATATGCATTCACTTTGGTCTAAATCTAAGTCTGTTGCTGTTCATGAACTTGAGTATTGAGCAGGATTTTTATTTTCATGAAAATGCGCAATTAGCTCTAAATGTTTAAGTTATTAATGGTATTACTGATTTTTCTTTTAAATATTAAGTGCACTGTGGTTGTGAAATAACTTGACTACATTATTGAATCTCGCTTTGGCAAGGCTAGCCTACTACTACTGGCCTGGTCTGCTTCTTGTACATGGGTTACAGATACAGAAGCTACAGAAGTTAGACATGTCTACAGACAAGTAACTTACTTTTGCAAGCATTGAGAATGTGAGTAGGTTGAACCACTGAAAACATTTAAAGGAGAAAAACAGTAAGGCAGGCTGGAATGAGAATAGTTCATTTAACCAGCTGTTGGCCAGCCAGTCAGGAATACACCAAACAGTAATGAATTTCAACCAGCTACTAGAAATGCATACGTTAAAATCCCTGTTGCCTTGTAGTTTTTCTTTCTGAACCTTTGGGGACACTGAGTAGTGGAAGATGAGAGCACTTGACATTCTGTTCACTTGGAGAACTGCTCATTTGTCTTTAGGAACTCCTGGCTCCTCTGAGAAGATCTCAGGGAGGATCTGTTTACTAGGGTTTGTTTTTTGATTCTTGCTTGTTCAGAAACTTACGATTTTAATAGTTTGGGTAGAAGGGTGCCAGTATAGCACCCCAAGCATAGTGTATCAACAGTAAAATAGCATGGGATCCCTTTCAGCATTTGAATGTGCTCTAATTATATTTAAAACAAGTATTGTGGGGTTTTTTATCCTGCCTGTGTTAGACACAAGAGGTAAAGAGCACTATGATTAAGTAACTTCTTAAATGAAATCTTTTTTCTTTAAGAGAATCTGCATTGTATTAGAATTAAGAAATTAAGTTTGCTTGATCTTTGAACAGAAAATAATTGTACAGCAAATTGGTTGTCTTTAGATTATGGCAGCAGGCAGCAGTTTATTCAGTATCTTTGTAGCAAGAGAGCTTATCTAGTTTAGTTGGTTTGTTCCTATACTTTGCATTTCATGCCTATTTAAAAATAGGAGAAAATGACTGAAATATTTCACTATTCTATGTAATTTGTTAAAAGTATTTCAAAACATTAGTAGAAGAAACCTGCATTTTGTGGTCATTAGAGATCCTTAAATAGTCAGATTTGCTAATGTAGTCATTACCTCCGTCAATACGTCTGGGGCATAGGTAGCTTATCACAGTATGCACATAGAAACAGGGAACTGAGACTTACAGAGACTGAGGCCATAACTGCTGAAATACAAGCCGACCTCTAATGCTTCTGTAACTGTAGGCACCGGAGCTTCTCATCAAATAATATAAAAAGTAGCAGAACAGTGTTGAAAGTTGGGGCTAAAATTATGTCATATCTTAATTTTTGACTAGTCTTGTCTAAGTTCAGTATTTCTCAACTGTAAGGGCACCTGCCAAATTCACTTAACTGCCTATAAAAATTCATTAATTTCTAAACTTAAGATGCTGACAAACCTGTGTCTTGGTAAGTAGCATATTTCTGTGGTCCGCATCTACTTAATTCTTAGGAATCTTTTTGGTCTCTAGTAAATTTTGTAAACCAACAACTAGCAATGGTTTGATTTCTTCCTTTTGGCAGTATTGTGGTATGTTACTTACAACCTTCCCCCCCCCCCCCAAAAGATCAGCATTTTGAGAGGGGGTCTGGAGATATTTCCTAGACAATCCCTAATTCCAATTAAAATTTTTATTTTGAGAATCACAGGTAATGTTGGTTTTTTTTGTTTTTTTTTTTTCCCTTAAGACTGTGTGTAGTGATGCTCTGCGGGCTGTCACAGATGTGTATATACATAGAGCTCTTGCTCTGCCTTCTGTTTTGTGTGCTATGAGGTTATTCTTTGTTTTGAAACAGGAGATCCTGAGAAGGAACTTAATCCGAAGAAGAAGATTTGGGAGCAAATTCAACCTGATCTTCATACCAATGACCAGTGTGTTGCTACGTACAAAGGAGTTCCGTTTGAAGTGAAAGGGAAAGGAGTCTGCAAGGCAGAGACCATGGCAAACAGTGGAATTAAATAAATAAATGGTTATTAGAAGCTTTTTTCAGATATTGAAATGGAAAGTAATGCGAGCAAGCACAATAAAAACCATGAATATATTACCCCTCTGAAATGCATGGCTGATAGCTTTTTGGGTTTTTGTTTTGTCTGACTCTTCTTCCAGAGGTACAGAATGTGTTTTGCGTCCAAAATTTTCACAATTCACTCATTCACCATGCTTACTGTCCTTGAGGTTAAGTGTTGGCAGCAGTCATTAACCACTTAGTTCTCAAGACTTAATTCCCAAGGCTTGTTCATGGTAGAACTACAGGCAGGCAAGCGTATTTTCTGGACAGCTAAAAGATTTAGAGGATCTGTGGAGCAAGAGCATCTCAATAAGGAAACTTCTGCCATGTTCCATGTGTGCTAACTGCGCTTCAGGAGGTGCAGGAGTAGCAGTTGGTCAGTGAGGACCACAATTGTCTTCATTCTTCTAGTCCCCTATTAGTAGCTTTTTTTTCTCTTCTTCCAAGCAATTTTCAGATATTTTATGACCCTCTGCAACTTTGTTCTTGGCTGTGTTGTCTCAGTAGTCTGCAGGCAGTTGTAATGGGAAGATTGAACTATAGCCCTTTATGCCCTAAGATGTATAAATGGACATGCTTTCATGTCCTGCAGTTAAGCTGTTGTAATGTCAATAAGATCAAAGCTGTAACTCTGCTAAAATAGTTCTTTATCTAGTCCACCTAGATATTTCCTTCCAAATGATAAATAGTACTAAGAAAGAATGAATAGCAAATAGATTTGCAGAGCTAGTCAAATACTACCACAAAGCCATCAGTTTCCAATGCCCAAACAGGTATAAAATTGACTTTTTTGTTTTAATGTATTTTTATGCAATGATATTTTATACAAAAGATGCTTTGGTTTTAACAGAATAACTTCTTCAGTTTTTACAATTGGAATTATTCCATAATAATGTAGTACAAGTAGTCATGGTTGCTATGGTAATAGCCTCAAATTACTTCTTTTAATTCCTGCCTTTTAATAATCTGAAAATATTTTAGTTCAATTTACAATAAACCTTTTAAGTAACTTTTTAGAGATACTTCAGATATTTTGGCATACAATATTTAACTGGTTACTGTCTAGCCACTGCAACAGTAAGTGTTTTTTTTTAACCACTGAAATAAAAAAAACCAAACAACTTAGTCATTCTGAATTTTGCAGGCTTTGAACTTCATCCAGTAAACTGGGAGGGGAAAATAAAATGACAATGATATAAAATCAAAAAGAACAGGCACAAGAGATGAACAGATTTCTTTTTCAAATGAGTTTTGTATGTGCTTATAAACTGTGTTAATTTTTCATGCATCTGGGAATAAGCAATAGAAATTAGTTCTTTTAAATGTGCCAAATAGTGGTAAGCACATGGGAGCTATTTTATCTGCCTTGTAAACTACATATCCAATAATGTTTGATTAAATAAAATTTTTGAAGTTCAAAATCTCAATTCTAACTAATCAATCCTGAATCAAGGTAAAGAAATAATCTTACAGTAGATAAATCTCAGCTTTTAGTACTGGAAAGCTCTTTAAAAACTTTGGAATTCCGGGGAACTTCTAAAAGCTTCAAGAATTGGGCAAAGAGGGTCCCTTACAGTCTGAACTCATATGCATTTTTTTACCTTTTTTTTTTTTCTTCCAGATCTGTCTTCTGTATGAACTGCAGTATACAATCTGGTGTAGTGTAAAATCTCATTTATGACTACATACATATTGGGAGTGTGGTTTAGAGAACTAGCTTGTTCTGATTTTGTGGTTGAAGCTAGGATTCTGGATGCAGTAGTGTGAGATACTCTATGAAAGGCAAGTAGTTGGGTAATCTAAAGAGGTATTTCCAACTGTGTTCGAAGGTATTTGGTATGGATGTAGAGTTTTCCAGTTGATGGTTTCTACTCTTCTATTTCTATTAATGTTGCCTACCATAGGAAATAGACAAATGAGCACCTGAAAGCTAATTTTATTCCTTATTTCTTGCTGTGTTGAAGTAGAAGCACTTGATAATTATTTTGTCTTATAAAATTCAAGAGCTTTCTTAACACGATAGCTCTTTCCTCTTTAATTATGCTCTTCTGGTTGTTTAGGAAAATGTATTTATGCTGTACTGAGCTCAAAAGTGACAACAGGGTACTTGAGGCACTGTGCAAGTATTCTTCCTCACTGAATCCAGCCTCTTCTGTCTTGTCTGTGTGAGTAAACAGAACTGCGGTGAAATCCTTCCATGTGGGACCCAGAAGTTCCTGTAATGAAAACCAAATCTTAAATAGTTATCTTTTCTCATTCCTTTTTCCCACTCCCACCTTATACTTATGCATTAACAGACTAGTTATATGTTCTTTTCCTGGCAGTAGTCTGGTTCATTATCTGAGTTGCTGAAATTTATGGTGTTTTTCACCTTCCCAAGACACTGACCCCCACTTTCAGTGGAAATATGTGGTTGTGTGGTACTAGCAGTTCTCTGTTATCTTACTACAGATGTTAATAGAATTTCTTCAGTTAAAAAATGTCAGTGTAAATAAGGAAAAATGGTTGTTTAGCTATGTCACGCATTAGTTTACATCAGTAGTTTCCACATATCCATATTTCTACACTTTTTACAGCTCTTTGAAAAATTTTTTTTTACATCACCAAATCACCTTGTGTTGAAAAAATAAATGATGAATTTCTATGTAACACCAACTGCAATTCCAGCTGTATCCCATAAAACTGAACTATTCTCAGCAATTCAGGAAAAACACAAATCAAATACATCAACCTAAGTGGTGGACCATAGAGTTTGTCTTTAACTGCTGTGGTTCATCTGATGGAGAGAAATGGAGAAAACAAGCTGCTGCTTTGTCAATGAATTTTAGTATGAATAAGGGATTGGGCTTTCATTTACTGATGTAAATGAAATTACAACTTCACTGCAATCATGCTAATCGCTGTGTGTGTCAAGCCTACTATGGTAATAAAGTCTACTTTGCAATGATTCTAACTCTGTAACCTAAATACCAAGGTGTGTGAAACTGCTGTAAAGGATACCTTTCTACTTCCAAGATAAGCAGGGAGTTAGAAAAACCTGGTGTATTGGTAGTGATTAATCTGGTTTAGACACTGTTCATATTCCTGGCACCCAGGCAGCTGTCCTGCCCTATTTGTTTGTGTCTGAAATCACAGCATCTGGGTCTTTTAAGGGGAAAATAACTAAAAAGCTGACCATTATATAAGCTAAGAGCCAGTTGTAATTGTGAAACAGAAATGTTGCTTTCTCATTATTTTTAAACATGCTTATTTCCTTTCTTGTAGGAGTTTTAAAGCTCCATTTAAAGAGAAAATGCATGGTGGCATCTCTTATGCTTTTAATGCCTACATGGACTTGACCCAAAACAGTCTCAAACTAGATTTTTTTTTCATTGGCTTAGGTAAAAATATTTTGAGTAAATACTGCTTTCTCTTAAATACCATGAAGTATAGAGAGATGGAGAACTGTATGAGGAAAAAGGGTAACACTGAAAACAAATATGTAAACTGACAGTGAGTAAGAACGTGTTGAAATTAGAACCAACTCTTAAACTACTGGAAAAGTGAGGAGTAGGCTACCAATAGAGAGTAATCAGAAAGAACAGGAGTGCAAATTAAACACAATTTGAAAGCTGTTTTTCTATCTATATATTTTTATCTACATATGTATTATATATTTAGATAAGATCAGTTACAGCAGGTGATAACACTTGATGGACCAGGAAGTCTGTTCCAGTCCTAAAGATTTTTAGAAATTTCGTTGGTGTAAGGTGCGAAGTGTCATGTGCAGACTTTGGCATCAACTGAAATCCTTTGTTTCTTCATAAATCATACAAAACTGGTTCATCTGATCAGATAAAGTGAGCAATATCTGTTCGCTGGCATTTTTTCTTTTTTTTTTCTCCCTTTCTCCAAAGATATGTATGCATGGTAATGAGAAACCTCCAGCTGAAAAGAACGCCGTTCCATTTCAGTGTCTCTCCCTACTTATCTTACCTACTTGCAAAAAAAAAAAAAAAAAAAAAATTCCTCCAGGAGCTTTAAAATATTTGTTTCAAGTCAGTTATGCTAGAATTTTTTTCTTAGCCAGAGTAAATTTATGGTAACTTTCTAGTTTTCTCTTGAACAGATACAGCAGTAGTGACAGTGCAAGACAGAGCTGAGCATCCTTGTTCTAGGTCAGTCAGATTTCCTGCATGATTTTGGATGTGTCATGCTCTGCTTTTGGTCCTATACAGCACAGGAGAGTGAGCTTTCTTTAAATAGCATTTCTGTTCCACAAGCTAGATCTATCATGTTAAAGCATGAACTATAATTTCTGAGAGAAAAGCTTACTTTGATAGGTAAATTTGATTCTTAAATTCCTTTGTGCTGAGCCCGTGTACAAAAGAGAGCATTCTTGCCTCTCTTTTCACAGGTTTAGTGCAGTAAGTGTAGCTATGGTGTGTGGTATTGTGAATGGCATGTTTCAGCTGCTGGCCTGGGAAGTGTTCCAGTTTTCAGCTGCACTTCTCTATTTCACTTTTAGTCAACTCTTCCATAGCTATTGTCACCTGAAGACAAAAGAGTTGCTGTTAGGACAGAGACTTCTAGTTATTTATTTGTTACCTGGAGGAATTGAGTAGTGTGATCACTTTCATCTGGACACAGAGGCAAGTCAGCCCTCAGGACCAAGAGAGCTAGATGCAGGCCTTCCTCCCCGAAGTGGTGAGCCAGGGCTGATCTCACTATGTCTCTCACCTGCTCTTTGCTCAGATCACTGTGAGGGTAGCTTGGTGTGTCAAGTACTCGAACACGGAGAGCTAGCTCACAGCCATTTCTTCGTATAATCCTTGAAATGCGGCAGCTGCGTCCAAGGCTGCAGCATGTTGTCACAGACCTTGGGGAGAGATGACTCTCAAAGTCTGAGCTGCCCAGCAGGCTGTTCCCAGCAGCACTTTTGCCAGTCTGAGTTCCTCCAAGAACGACAAGGTTGATGGTCATCTCGTTGCTGCCTGCCATTTTCTATGCTTTTATTCACCAACCTGTCACTAAGTGAAGAACAAATAACATGAGCTGTTTCAGATAAAAAAAATCCAGCAAAAATTGCAAAATTCAATGTCTTTTGGATGTCCTTCCATGCCTGAAAGTGTGTGGTGTAGATAGGTATATGTGCTGTACTGAATGTCTCTGTCTGATCCAAGGACGGATCTTTGCTGTCCTTCCCAGTCTGCTGCTTAGAAATAACAAGACCCCATGGAAGGTGTCACAGGTACAAGAGCAACCTAAAAGGCTGTGCTCCTACACTGGCAGAAACTGAAGAGCTGGGAAAGAATCAGATGTGAGAAGATAAAGCTAAGGAGAGGCAACAGTGAAGGGAAGAGTTGGGAAACAACTGGAAAACAGCATTGGCGTACGGGGAGAGTAGGTTATGAAAAGGAGGAAAGCTAGGGGAGGAAGAAGAGAATGGTGACAAATACATGCTGCTGCTAAGTGACCATGTTTCAGGAAGTAAATCTTTACTTGTTTTTAGGAAAAAAAGGGATAGTCAGAAGTAGCTTCTAAAGGAGCACTTTTTCACAGCGGGGAACAGCTTAGAATACATCTTTCATCAGCTACTACTAAAATTGAAACAGACAGTAATCCAAAAGGGCTTTCTGATACAGATAAATATAAGAAGTATATCTTAACGAAAAAGTAAGAGCTGAAATAGCCAATGGTGCAGGTTCTAACCCCATATGAAATTGAGATTTTAGAATTATATATGGTACAAACTTTTAGACTTATGGCAAAGTGGAAAGGAAAAGCGTAGACTGGTGGATGGAGAGGGGAGATGGGTAAGTATCACTTCCATTTACTGTAATTGTTCACAAATAAACCCTCTCATTCTCCTTGTACTTTTCTGTAATCCAGTATCTGAAGGGTTTTTGGTGCGTGTTAATCATCTAAGAGGAATACTGGCTGATTAAGTAAATCCAGAGGTGTTTCAAATGGAAAGCCATATTGGCAAATAAGTATTTGATTTTAAGTTATCAGTGACACCTGAACTTCAGAAATACTTGAGTTTATTTTTTTTTAAGATTCTATGTTTAGGTGCTTATAGAGAGATCATGGATAATTTTAGAATGGAATTTCCTGTGATTAATTTATTTAGATTCTTGCATGTGCAGTTCAAGCTTTCTCCCTCATATTAAATCCATGCCCGAATCAATCTTTTGATATAACTTCAGTACAAAGCCAAACATGCAAGAGCTATTAACATGCTAATTTTGTTACAGGCAACATTGAATACTGTACATGATGATCTTCATTACTGAATTCACAGTGAGGTTTTTATGGATTTTTTTTCAATAATCAATTTCCTTTTTTTAATGCCTTTTAAAAAGATGCCTTATGAAATGGTTATCGTCAGTTATTCATCAGTCTAGATGTGCATTGCATTCTTTTTCTGTAGCATAATAATATAACATGTTGGACTTAAATTTCTGTATTCCTCTTTAAACTCATGATCAAGGATTTGTTTGGTTTTTTCTCTAAGCAGCCTATGCTTAAATACTTAAATTAACTTCATATTCTGTCACTTACCTTATTTTCCCTTAAATTCCTTTTTCATTCAGACTTCATTCATAAACCATGTGTGCAGTGTAAAGAGAAGTTCATATGTGAACTTTGAAACTAACATCAGCAACGTACCACACTGAGACTGTTACGTACACATTAATCTGGTTAATCTATTACTGATAGATCCTCATTCAATTGGGTATGTTTGGTCAGTAATTGGCACTGTTGAATTTTTGCAACTTAGCTGCAGATACAGTTTTTGAAATCACTTTAGTGAGTGTATGAAGCTGATATTTTTGAAAGTTACTTGAGTAATCCCAGCAGTTAAATGTGAGAGTGATAATGGAGGTACTGGGATTACTTTGAGTGCTGTCAGTGGTGGGAGGACAAGAGGAAGGAGCTTTCCAGAGCCCTGTTGTGCTGGAGACATTGTCACCTTGAATGTAGCTTTATGTGGGAGCCTGTAAGTATTGATTTACCGTGGTATCAGGGCTGTTCCTGCCTGCCGCAGCAGTGGAGCGAGACTTCAGTTCCTCTGGAAGCCTGTTGTCTCCTGCTGTGGTGCCACAAGCACAGACTGCTTTGGCAGAAGGTAGGAGCTAATGGTGCCTTCACAGCCTCCTAGTATAAATTCATGTCATTCATCATGAATGAGGCCATCGCTTGTGTTACTTGGCTGTTTGTTGCTGTGTGTTTTTTAAGAGCACGTAGGCAAGTTAGGTTCTTTCAGACAGCTCCCTGATCTCGAGTCTGCCTGTTCTGGTGAGAGGGGAGATATTAAATCTTGTCCTGTATTGTGTGTGTGTGTAGCTGAGGCAACTACTGATAGTTTCCACTGTGAAAAGCCTTGCAGCTCAATGCTGTGCACAGCCTTTATGTGTCAAAGTGTATTTATAAATAAAGTGTATAGCAAGGTTCCTTTACTTGCTAGTGGATACAAACTCAAGACTGGATGGGGGGTGACTCACTTGCAAAGCAAAAGGGTAGATCAGTCTCATAAAACTGTGGATATTGTGAAGATAAAATCCAGATGCTTCCTTTAATTTGGCTAAAAAGTCTTGACTTTGGTTAAATCATCATAGTAGAGCTCTGTACTTTTCATCAGACTGTTCCTATGCACAGTGATGCCTCTCATGACATCTGAGGCAGTATATGTCCTAGCAGTCGCATCCAGCTGAGCCAGTAGCCCGCCAAGGAGATAATTTAAGCTGTGCATGGACAAGGGTTTAAACTACCAAGAAAGCTAGAGTCCCAGAAGCAGAGGAGTGTTGTATGCAAAGTACAGCTTGCCCAGCTGGATGCAGCACAGGGCTTTTATGCTGACAAGATGGCTGTAAAATTAAGAGTAGTGTAAATGAGGCACTGCTTAAATGATATCTAAAACTTGGCTAAGCAAACATCCCCACAAAAAAGGCATTTCTTTCCAGTATTATTATGAATGTAATACAGTCCGAGTTGGGACACATCTGGAAGGTCTTACAACAGCACAGGCAGAGGATTTTAAGAAGTTGTCTTCCTGGGAGGATATGACAGGGAAAAAAATTAAAACTGATTTATATGACACTTGCTTAGGCTCCTCAAAGTACGTGGAAAGAGTCCTCCCCAAGGTGGCAGTATCAGCCTGCTCCACAGGTACTGTAAAACTCAGCTGGGGTCCCCTTGCTCTGGAATAAAATACCAGGTCAGAAATGAACTAAAGCATTAAAAAATACAGAATAATTACAGGAGTCTTCAAACATCTCCTGAAATAAGAAATGTAAAAAGCATTTGTCTTTCCTTTGTCACAATAAACATCTTTTACTTTATATATAAAATGTATTTGAACGCATATAAAATGAATGCGAACAGCACTAATGGAAAGGTAGCAGTTAAGAAACTGGAAGTGTTATTTACTGTCCCTTATATGATTCTTTTTCTAATCAAGACCTTTGTTTTCACTAGCTTTTGAGTTGGTGACATTTATTATGGAGTTTTGGATGTGAGATCTTAAAATCTACTGTCGGAGTATGAGTTTGCAAAGAGCAAGTACAAAGTATAACAAAATTGCCTTCGATGCTTTTTAGCACTACTTACTGCCTGTGGGAAAGCTATTTTTTTTTTTTTTATAACTGCCATTTTTGAAATGAGAGACAACCAAAAGAGAGCCTGTTACAGACTGGCAGGCAGGAAGGCTTCCTGTAATTGATAAAGGAAGCCTCGTACTGCTCCCATAGAAATACCAAACAAATCTAGTGAGGAATTGTCAAAAATCTAAGGAAGTAAGGCCACTAATCTAACTGAAAGTAAGTGGCATATGGGTATTCAGCTTCTTTAGTTGTCCTTGAAAAAAACAAGGCTGAAATAATTTGGAAGTAACCATTGGATTTGTATGTATCTACAGAGTTAACTAGAGTTGCAATGCATCTGAGTCACATTACCGTGTCAGCTGCTGTTCTACTGTAGCCCCTGTGATCACCCAGTTGGTTTGCACGCACCCTGAACAAGCTCTCCATGATGCTCGTTAGGGTATACTAAGCAGGCAGGATTTTGTAAACTGAAATAGCATAGTTTCTTTTCAGGCACATGGCATCTCTTACCATGTGTCATCTTTCAGTTCCCACGCCTTCCCATCCCTTACAGCTTCTTTCCTGATGTGGGCTCTCATTTTAGCCCAAGATGATGCCATAATAAGTAATTTAAGATGTTCTTTGATGAGTTTCTCTTACTTAGAGAAAACCCAGTGAGGCCATTTTATGGATTGCCACACACGGAGGCGGTCTCAGCCTTGCCAAACAACATGAGAAATCCAGGAAGGTATGCAGTCCGTGTAGTCAGTGTGGCTTCAGTTCTGTTAGATGTATAATTTCTAAGAAACACCCGGCACGTCACTGCTGAGAGATCGGGTACTCTACTCCTTGTGTACGGCATTCACAACAAAAAGTTCTGTGCTAATCCTAAAGGAACACACACATAAAATAACGCTAATGTTTCCTTAAAATAAATTATTATATTTTTTCCATTGCTTAATCCAATCCTTAGTATTTTTGAACAAAACTAAGCAATTATCAGCAATCTACAAGGTCATGTTTCCCTTTGCAGTGTGGCTGTGTATGCTATGTGCTACTGCATTGGCGTTGCTAAGGGGCAAGGAGGTGGGGTATAGCTGCAGACTAATGCTGCAATTGCACCAGCTTTGCGACAATGTCTCTTTGTACAATTGTGGAACCAGCTCCTCAGGTTCCCACTGTACTTCTTACAGTGGTTCAGGGCAATGGGTTAACCTTATGGGTTCAGGGCAAATACTGATGGCAGAAAGGTAGGTCAAGGACCTGCCTTGTGTTTTAAAGGAGGTTGAGCAGAACTATCATCATGCTAAGAACATCAGCCAGACTTTTCTTTGTTCTCTATTCTCCCACTGAATCACCAAGATCCACAAGATACTCTCTTCCTTCCTCCTTTGCAAATAATAGACAACTTCAAAT